AGCCGATGTTCTAACCAAATATAATCAGCCACTTTCTTCAGGACAGAGCTTCAGCCGATGTTCTAACCAGATATAATCACACACTTTCTTCAGGACAGAGCTTCAGCCGATGTTCTAACCAGATATAATTACCCACTTCCTTCTGGGCAGAGCTTCAGCCGATGTTCTAACCAGATATAATCACACACTTCCTTCTGGGCAGAGCTTCAGCTGATGTTCCAACCAGATACAATCACACACATTCTTCTCGAAAGACCTTCAGCCAATGTTCCAGCCAGATGTGACTCCATACTTTCTTCTGGGCAGAGCTTCCGCCGATGTTCTAACCAGATACAATCACACACATTCTTCTCGAAAGACCTTCAGCCAATGTTCCAGCCAGATGTGACTCCATACTTTCTTCTGGGCAGAGCTTCCGCCGATGTTCTAACCAGATACAATCACACACATTCTTCTCGAAAGACCTTCAGCCGATGTTCCAGCCAGATGTGACTCCATACTTTCTTCTGGGCAGAGCTTCCGCCGATGTTCTAACCAGATACAATCACACACATTCTTCTCAAAAGACCTTCAGCCAATGTTCCAGCCAGATGTGACTCCATACTTTCTTCTGGGAAGAGCTAGGTGTTCTAACCAGATACAATCACACACATTCTTCTCGAAAGACCTTCAGCCAATGTTCCAGCCAGATGTGACTCCATACTTTCTTCTGGGAAGAGCTAGGTGTTCTAACCAGATACAATCACACACATTCTTCTCGAAAGACCTTCAGCCGATGTTCCAGCCAGATGTGACTCCATACTTTCTTCTGGGCAGAGCTTCCGCCGATGTTCTAACCAGATACAATCACACACATTCTTCTCGATAGACCTTCAGCCAATGTTCCAGCCAGATATAATCGCCCACTTTCTTCTGGGCCTTCTCACAGAAGCATCTTCTCCCTAAGACCTCCTTCTTCTGCCTCCTTCTCTCCTTCGTCATCCTCAAGAGGTAGAGCAACTTCAGCAACCCCAACAGCCAGCCCCTTGTCTTTCAGTGTCTGCTTCAGCAACCTTGGCCCCATAATGGACACAATGGCTGCCCCGAGGGGCGCGGTCACCAAGATGGACAACACCGCCAATGTTAAAACCTGAATGTGTCACACATCAATCCCACAGCAGGAAATCAATTTGTAATCAAAGTTCAACATACAATTCAATATTTTCAGTCAATATGAAGGTTAATGTTTCAATGCATTTGAAAGATATCATTGATCAAACACAATCATATTACCCCAAAACATATTCAAGGGATCAAACAACAACATGAGTGTAAATGACATACAATGGATACAAGGCAGATGCAAACACAGAAGTGTTCAAAAGCAAAAAAGTAACGTGGTGAATTCATAAAAAGAGTTTTAAATTCATGAAAAACATGGTGAATATATTTTTGGTACATTAACATGCAAACAGAATAAGTAGGGCATATACAGACGAGGTTTTCCAGGCATATCCCAGTATGCAACAGTAGCAGATTAGATCATTGAAGGTCACAGCCGAGGAGTTGAAGGTCAAGTTGTTGTCCAGATCATCAGAAATGCAGAGTGGAAAGAAAGGGTATTTGTTAATAAACATGATCTCAGAAACACATTATGGTCCTCAAAATCAGTTACTATCATTACATAGGCACAAGTTACTTTGCTATTGGTTATCCTCAGTGAAAACAGTTCAAAATGACGAACCACGTCTTTCCGTGGACAATGCCATTACACTTTACTGATACCCTTAATCAGGCCTAAAATATAAACAAGATAGAAATGTGTATGCTATGTTTGTTAAATTTGCACACAGTCACCAAAAGACCACAAATAGGAAGATACACACTGAGTTTGTACAAAAAACTATTTCCTGCATCAGTAGACGACAAAGCAGTTGGTAAAAAGGAAAGGAATTTAGCAATTTTACTCTAATTCCTTGGCCACCTCCTCTTGGTGTGCCAAATTCAATTCACAGGCATATTTCAGCTTTTTGGTCCTTTTGAGTGCATGTTTAAAATATAACATACATCATTCTTCTTAGTGTTCTCATTGTCCGGTGTGTTAGTGTTGCTTCATAAAATAAACCATTAAGATAAACATACCCACTAGACATTCCATCATTATTGTAAGGGGCAGCATGCAACCAGTCCACTTGACTTCTCATGCATACAACCACCCACGGCAAGTGCTGAATGCTTAACATTGTTATGACATTATGTTATGACATGCATCACATTTGCCATCATTAGCACCCAGGCGATTAGAAGATTGACATAAGCGGGTGCTTATTAAAACAGAACAAAAAAAACAGCGCAAACTTAATTCAAACGTTGAAACTAAAACCTTGGCAATAATAGCTTCCAAGGTGATTCCTGTTTGTAAGCATTTAATAAACGTTGTAAGCTTCTTGTTGGGTGTGATTTTCTTGTATGATTTGTTTGTTTGTTTGTTGTTTAACGCTGCACTCAGCTATATTCCTGCTATATGACGGCGGTCTGTAAATAATTGAGTCTGGACCAGACAATCCAGTGATTGACATCATAAGCATCGATCCACGCAATTGTGATACGATGACATGTATCAACCAAGTCAACGAGCCTGACCACCTGATCCCGTCAGTCGCATCTTACGACAAGCATAGTCACATTTTACAGCAAGCATGGGTTGCTGAAGACCTTTTCTATCCCGGATCTTCACGGGTCTGTATTATATATATATTGTATGATTATATAGAGGTTATCACATGTGTGTTTTGGGATGGAAAATATCCTGTATTAGGAATAAACATTGTATTTATCATGCCTTGGTGAGCTAAATACATAGTGCTTATTTCTAATAATGATTACCATCCCAAAACATACCAGCATGATAACCTCTTCATCAAATAATGTTATTCTTAAATCCTATCGTCGAAAAATGCATCCTTGCTTCTTACAAATGATACCTAGACATTGCAAGTCTTCCTGGACCAATTTATGCCATTGCAATGTGTAATTGCCACATAGGCAAAAAGGAAACTGCCTACACATAATGTTTCAATATCAGTGATCATTTTAAGCTGCAATTCCTCAGTCCACCTGCTGGAGTAACTGCCCTTAGCCAAAGAGAAGATAATCTAGTCTAGGAGATGTCATTTGTTTAGAATCATCTTCCCGGAGCAAGAGAGTTAACTGACTTTAAAAGTCCAGTTTCCACCCTTGCCGAACTAGGCTAGAATTACTGGGCTCGATCGTAGAGCCACCAGTGGCTATTACAAGTTATGTCCCTTCTAAACCTCTCCTATGGACCAATCAGATTCCACCTCTCGTATCACTTGTGTTTGCTTCACACAAAATGGTGGCGCCCAGTCATGACGATCTGATCGATAATCAAGATCAATATTGTGATAAAACGGGTCTTACATTGCGAAATGCATCAAATCCTGTGAGCACCTTGACTAAAAACATGAAAAGATTTGGAAAATATCTGCTGACGAGTTGGCGGTGCACATGCTGTGCAAATCCTGCAATCGACCGAACTCTGCATGATAGTTTAGGAACCGGATTTCGATTTCGATGCGCGATTTTGATTGGACTATGCATAGACTCGTTAGTCCAGCCAAAATGTAACTCCATAATACCAGCCTAGTTCGGCAAGGGTGGAACTCAGTTAACTCACTTTCTTCGGGAAGATGGTTTAGAGTCTGCCAGTCCTGTCATAAAGTTATGAAAAGTAGTCAGATGTAACACACAGTGATAAAATGAAACAGGGTGTTTATCTTAATATTAGGCTTAACTTGTAAACAACCCTCTGCAACTAACTGGCAGGTGTGAATCCTGCTGGGGTACAATGTAGGTAGCAGACGTACAGGAAGTCCCCATAGCCACATGGTGGCCTAACTTGCTGGTGATCTGGAGCCTGTTTTTCTCTAATGTGTTTGTTATGTATAGTGAGTCATCTTTATATGGTCTCATAGTAGCAATAAATACAAATCTGTGATAAACTTGTTGTTTTACAGTCTTCCATTGACAGGTTTTCTAGCAACGATATAGCTGAATTACTGCAGATATCACTTGAAATTGTAACTCACAAAAAACACTGCACTATCTATCTAACCATTCCATGTCCAATATCAAGTTTATTGTGCAAAGAAATTAAAAAACAATAAATAAGTGTAATTTTGATCAGTTTAAAGTGAAGATGACAAAAGGTATAATTTTTAAAGGAATGTTAGAAAAAACAGAAATCATTTAAACCTAACCTGAAATAAAAAGCCCAAAATAATCAAATTAACACAAGCAAATAAAGTATTAGCTGTGCTGAAAGTGAACATAAAATAGTTAATGGCACACATGAAGTGTTAAAAGGCAAAACTGATAAAAGCAAAAATGCATTAAAAAATGTATATAACACCGAATCCATCTGCATGTACAAGATATATACATATATGATATCATGAAGTATGCTAAAAAACAAACAAGGGTGTAAAAGTCATATAGATTTCAAGCTGAAAGTGTTGGGTGGTCCTTTCCTGTCAGTTCTATGAACAATTATATGTAACAATGAACAGTCAAGGGGAAAAAAGCCTGCGAGTGCAATACCAGGGGCCTAACAAACACTGAAGACAGCCATAATGATCACTGCCATTGTAGTGCTATTTGGGGGGGGGGGGGGGGGGGGGGGTACACGAAAGACTCAGCCATAGCTGCCATAGGAGCAGATCGAGATATAGCTAATCCCATCAAGAAGTTTGAAATGCTACTACCTCATGATCAACAAATATGTAAGGTATCCATTAACAAATTATAGCTGGTATCCGAGCTAAAAAGTTAGCTTGTGCAAAGCTAGGAAATAAAAAGCAAAATGCATTTAATGGTCAAACAATGAGCTACAACATCAACAGCAAGCACAAACATAACCCATTATTAGTCGAGCTCCCCTCCCTATCCCAGCATGCATTGTTTAGAGACCCTCTTCCTCAAGGGAGATAATTATTACTGACCTGTTTGCCTAAATTCTCCAGCTCTGGTTTACCCTCAGAAATAGCCATTTCATAAGCTTTGGCACCAATGGCAGCCTGCAGAAAAACAGAAGTCATTTCAAAACTTAACATTATTGATCATTCTCTATATTGTTTAGGGTTACAAATAAATTGAATATCCATGTGTATTTTAACAATATAACAGTATTACTTTCATGTCCATGTCACTGGGATCCATATTGGATTTATTTTCAAAAGATTAGTGTGCAGATCTGCAGTTGTTCATAGAATAAAACAATGTGCAGCAGAAATCAAATCTGGATCATTAATTCAGCAGAAATGTTCTCCTAACGCCTAAATCACTCACAAAACAGAACCTACCTTCTGAGCTCATTTACTTATGAAGAAAGATATGACCCTTAATCTCTGACCAACATGGGCCCCATGGTCATTTGAATTAAGGTACATTAGTATTCGACTGAATTAGAAGCTAAATGACCATTGAAGTGTCGTCTGTTGTCATAACCTCACCTGGACCGTGGCTTTGGGCAGCCATGCAAAGGGAATGAACATCCTCTCCCTGAGGTTGAGAGGTGTGAAGAACACTGCCAGGAAGGACACCACCATCCTTACTGCCAATCCGATTCCAAGAGTGGCTAGGCCGAGACCTGGAGGCATACATCACATCTCGATCATCTTGTCACATACCTCTGAACACCAATGTTGTTCTAGTCAATACTCTAGTCAATCTTTGCAAAATCTACCAGTGGTGTTCTTGGCGATACACTCTAGGCAGAACCTACCAATGGTGTTCTTGGCGATACTCTCTTGGCAAAATCTACCAATATTGTTCTTGGCAATACTCTCTGCACAGCAGAACCTACCAATGGTGTTCTTGGTGATACTTTCTTGGCAAAATCTACTAATGGTGTTCTTGGCGATACACTCTGCACAGCAGAACCTACCAATGGTGTTCTTGGTGATACTTTCTTGGCAAAATCTACCAATGGTGTTCTTGGCGATACACTCTAGGCAGAACCTACCAATGGTGTTCTTGGCGATACTCTCTTGGCAAAATCTACCAATATTGTTCTTGGCAATACTCTCTACACAGCAGAACCTACCAATGGTGTTCTTGGTGATACTTTCTTGGCAAAATCTACCAATGGTGTTCTTGGCAATACTCTTTTGGCAAAATCTAACAATGGTGTTCTTGGCGATACTCTCTAGGCAAAATCTACCAATGGTGTTCTTGACGATACTCTCTAGGCAAAATCTACCAATGGTGTTCTTGGCGATACTCTCTAGGCAAAATCTACCAATGGTGTTCTTGGCAATACTCTCTATGCAGCAGAACCTACCAATGGTGTTCTTGGCGATACTCTCTACACAGCAGAACCTACCAATGCTGTTCTTGGCAATACTCTCTTGACAAAATCAACCAATGGTGTTTTTGTCGATACTCTCTAGGCAAAATCTACCAATGGTGTTTTCAGCTGATACTCTCTACACAGCAGAACCTACCAATGGTGTTCTTGTCGATACTCGAGATCTCCACCTCAGATGCAATCAGACCAAACAGTAATGGTTGAAAAATCATCCACAGGACACCCACAACATTCTCAATTGGATTCTGGAAACATACATTCTCACATCATCACAATCCTACAACATGGGTGAACAAATGTCAATAAACATCCGAACCCTCAAGCAATAAATATGATATTTCTGGTCAAATAACTCCGAAAAATTTTGGTTAATTTACACCACATTACAATGACTGCAGAGTTCTTGGTTTCCTTGAATCAGCACCAGGCAGGGTAATAACAAGTTCCATAAGGAAAGGTGAGTCAGTAAGTATGGTTTTACGCCGCTTTTAGCAATATTCCAGCAATATCACAGCAGGGGACACCAGAAATGTGCTTCACACATTGCATCCATGTCAGGAATCGAACCCGGGTCTTCGGCCTGACAAGCGAACGAATTTAACCACAAGGCTACATGACCGCCCATCCATGAGGAAGAGAATTTATGGATGTCAACTTCTATAGTATGAGGAAGACAATGTTTCAGAGCATATACTTATTCCTTCATCAGGTGAATGGAGGATTTAGGAATAAGTATATACGTTCCTGATTTAGAGAAGTTGACATCCATAAATTCTCTTCCTTATGTGTATCACTTTTAAAGGCCTTTCAAAGACTTAACAAGTGGGTCCATGTTTAACATCTTTTGGTTGATGCGGCCTGGAATTGAACCCCCGACCTTCCTCTCTCCATAGTGAGTGAGTGAGTATGGTTTTACGCCGCTTTTAGCAATATTCCAGCAATATCAGAAATGGGCTTCACACATTGTACCCATGTAGGGAATCGAACCTGGGACTTCGGCATGACGAGCGAACGCTTTAACCACTAGGCTACCCGACCACCCCCCTCTCTCCATAGGAAGAAAGAGATAAATGATCTTCTTACAGTAGATTTTACAAACACATGGCAAGTGATGCACATGGGAACACACAATTAACAGAATGATTCACAAAATAATCACAGTGTCACAGATTGAAAAGAGTATTATCAGTCTCAATCAAAAGGAAGGGGAAACCTTTCTAAATCAATCTGCTTTAACATCTGTGTAGCTCATGGTGACATTCACCTGTTCACCCTCCTTGAACTCTTTCCTCCACTTCAGCGCAGCAACAAACGCGAGAGTGAGGCAGCCCAGAGGTCCGGACCCCGCCCACTTTAGGTACGTGGAGAGAAAGATGGCCATCAGACCGAACCCCACCAGCATCACAGACCGAAACAACACCAGGTTCTTCTGCAACAACATTCAATTCTATTATTCTCAACTCAAGCTGATCTCTGTCAACACTGGACCAAATATACAGTCATGAATTTACTACACTCATTTAGCATCACTGAAACCTGTCTAATCCAGACCTCCTTCCCTCCCGATTCCGGACTCAAATTATGGGACGAAAGACCCGTTTATTATGTAACTTACTCTCACATCCCGGATTAACTTTTCAGGCAACTACCTCGCACATCCGGTAAGCAGTTCTTATTAACAAACAATATGATTACAATGTAATATGATGCTGAGAATAAACTCGGCGCAGCAGCAACTTTCCTCATTCTGCAGGGTACATAAAGTGGATTGTTTGTTGTTTAACGCCGCACAAAGTGGACTATTTGTTTGTTGTCAAATGCCATACTCGGCAAAATTCCAGTTGTATGAAGGTGATCTGTAAATAATTGTGTCTGGACCAGACAATCCAGTGAATGACATCAGTAGCATCAATCTACGCAATTTTGATACGATGACATACATCACCCAAGTCAGCAAGCCTGATTGTCAGATCTCAATAGTCACCTCTTACAACAAGCATTGGTTGCTGAAGATCAGTTCTAACCAGATCATCACAGGGATAAAGTGGATTGAATAAAGTTGTACAGGTTGAGATCATATTTTAAATTCCATTCATGTAACTTTCAAACAGCTTAAACAGGTACATTAGATAAATAAATAATTTTTTTGTCACAAACATACTTTTGCTTTTGAAAGGATCAGGAATTGTCAAATAACGAATATTCAAAGGAGATAGTTAAATCTTCCAAGTTTTGTATCACGAGTTATCATAATCTTTTGCACGTTTATGCATGCAATGTTACCGGCAAATTGAGATAGCCATGTCACTGTACCAGCCAATGCTATTGCTTGGATTTGCAGTCTATAATATGATGAGATGAGAAAACCAGTCTGTAAATGTAGCTTGGATTCAAATCACTGCCATCATCTACAATGTAGATATGTCAGCTGGACCCCGTACACACATATTGTTTATATTGTGGCGTCAGCCTCTCTCCAAGGCATATCTTTCAGGTGTTAATGTACATGTACACACATCTTCAAAACTGACTGTTCACTTCACATGCAATACCAAGGGACATAACTCTTTGCTAGAATAAGACTTCTGTCAAATCTGGACTGGTGACTCAAACTGGACATAAATCCCAGTCTCGTTCAGCGTAGACTGATTCCACTAAACAATCTGTTCAGTGTGTTTTTCATGCCATCACTTGTGGTAACATTTATTCCAGTGATTTAATTGATAAACATGCTTGTAATGGATTGTAACTGATTGGGGTTTGAAATTAAGCATGAAAAGTCAAGGAGTCACAATCTTAATGCTAAAAACTGAAGATTTAAGGAGTTTCCAGATTCAAACATTACAGCAGCACAGCTCTACAACCCAGGACCCCCATTAATTTCAAATACTGCACACACGTTACCAAAATGTTACCATGGTTACTCATCAATGAGACTATTTAAATGAACACTGGAAACAATACTGGTGAGGTGAAATGGGGTTTAACGTCGTGTCCAAGATTATTGCCATTATATAGCGATATGCATGTACGTGTGTGTGTTTGTGTGGCTGCTTGTACTAGTCCGGACTGATGCTGATTTATAGTGCTAGCTCACTGAGATACCATGCCGCAGTTTAACATGAATACCCCACTCAGACACAGTATACTGACTCCGAGCCGACCAGTACTTGTTTTAGCCCCTTAATGCCGAGTGCCAGACGGGGTAACAACAAGTACCATCTTTTAACATCTTTTGGTATGACGCGGCCGGGGATCAAACCCTGGACCTTCCTCTCTCCGGGCGGACGCTCTACCAAAGGACCACGGAGGCGGTTGGAAACAATACTGAGAAGCAGTTGTACACCGGAGCAACTTACACTGGTGCGTTGTGGGAAGTACCAGAGTATGACCCCAGCCACAGTCCCCAGGGCGACGCCCACCACAGCCTCCAGGGGGCCCTTCAGCAGCGTCCACGCCAAGTTACCTGGGGGTAAACAGAACAGGGAAAGGCTGGTGAATACTCGGGATGAGTCGCATTGAAAATAGGATCCTGTTTAAGGAATACATATTACACATGAAGAATGTCAATGAGTTGTTGATAACATTTGAACAGTTCTAATGTGTTGGTAAGAAATCAAATCTGGACCAGACAAACCACTGACCCATTACATTGACAGTGATCCCTTGAAAAGATGGGACACAATTAGCCACATCACTCTGTAACCATGGTAACCATCAACTGCCACTTCTCGTTGGTTTTACCCAGTGGGGATTCTTGGGCAAAAATAAAAATTAGTCCCCAGTAACCTACGACAGTTGAAATAGGTGACATGATTGATTGAGAGGTGAGAGTGCTCATTATATCAATCAGTGCATTTTCGATTAAGATTCAATTATTTACAGACATGAACATTGCTGCATTACTGCCAAGTGTTAAAAAACAAAAAACAACCTCGATGGAAATTGGGACAAGCACAAGAACATGAGGACTTATTCAGCATGTTCAGCCTGGAATCCCCTCAGGTGTGATGAGGTGAGTGGGTGAATGGTCAAGTTTGGGTCTGACGAACCTGTGACGGAGAGCACAGAGATGAGGCTACATACTAACATCTCTAGACATGGTATGTACCTTGTGAGAAGGCAATGCCCAGCACAACACCGAAGCCAGTGATGGCCAACACATCATCCACACTGGCTGCTGCGATGACGAGAGTGGGGATGCCTTTGTCTACCCCATACCCATCTTCCTGCAGAGACAGCAGGCAGGGGACCACCACGGCCGGGGACACTGCTGCGATCACAAACCTGCAACACACATTACACTCTTTACCTGCAACAGATGGTACACACCATATCATAGTCTCTCATACAGATTTCTCTGTTTAGAGTTGCATCCCTTAGTTGTGCCAGGAACCTATGGTTTGAATCCTGGTTCGCCCTTTTCATGTTTTTAGCTGACTCAGCACCATACCTGTGTCCATGGGTTTCAACAAGGTGGAAAACATCTGAAAACTTCGTCACAGGCTTCCCTCCCACACCAAGCTGACACACCATGATGTAAATGAAGGTGAAATGGAGTTTAACGCAGCGTCCAAGATTATTGCACTTATATAGCGACGTGCATGCACGTGTGTGTGTGTGGCTGCTTGTTCTAGTCCGGACTGATGCTGATTTATAGTGCTAGCTCACTGAGATACCATGCCGCAGTTTAACATGAATACCCCACTCAGACACAGTATACTGACTCCGAGCCGACCAGTACTTGTTTTAGCCCCTTAATGCCGAGCACCGGACAGGGTAACAACAAGTACCATATTTTAACGTCTTGTGGTATGACGAGGCCGGGAATCGAACCCCGGACCTTTCGCTCTCCGGGCGGACGTTCTACCACAAGACCACGGAGGCGGTCACACCATGATGTAACTGAAATACTGTTCAAAGCTGTGTTAAATCAACTCACATACTCACTCCCTCTCATACACGCAGAAACAAAACTATCGGAAAAATCCAAAGCAAGTCTTCAATTCATCGGCAAGTCAAGAAGAGTCTGGAATTCTCTGGGCTCCTTTCTATTTCATATCAAAAAGACAATTAAATGTCAGTCTGACTTTATCTGGCAAACATGACTGACTAGTACAGCACGGAAACAATTTCCACAATGATTCTGATACAGATATTAATCAACTGTTACCCCAACAACTGGAAACGTACCATATTAACAACCTTTTACAACTAGAGTTACCTCCCTTAACTGTTTGCCATCTACGAACACAAGAACACTAAGTTGACCTACTTGGTGATGATGGGCACGGACCCGACTTTCATTTTGCGATTTACTGCAATGCAATAATGACTCATTTATTGCGATACACACCACAATATATTGCATGAATTGTTTTATTAGTAATTTGTTAGGAATCTATATAAAAATAACCCAACTTCTTGGTTTCACTTTTTTCAATCACAGCAAATCAGTTCCAAGTTTTGAAATTTCATAATCTCCGTTTTGACTCGTCACTTATTTTAACTTCGCCAACAAGATGAAATATGTATTTACCCCAGCATGAAGCCCATTCCCCTGTATTTACCCGCACATGAAGCCCATTCCCCTGTATTTACCCGAGCATAAAGCCAATTCCCCTGTATTTACCCGCACATGAAGCCCATTCCCCTTTATTTACCCGAGCATAAAGCCCATTTCCCTGTATTTACCCGAGCATAAAGCCCATTCCCCTGTATTTACCCGCACATGAAGCCCATTTCCCTGTATTTACCCGAGCATGAAGCCCATTCCCCTTTACCCGCACATGAAGCCAATTTCCCTGTATTTACCTGCACATGAAGCCAATTCCCCTGTATTTACCCGCACATGAAACCCATTCCCCTGTATTTACCCAAGCATGAAGCCCCACTCCCAGGGGAAGCCGAGCAGGAGATGTGCTGCAACTGCATCGGCTGTGGTCTCCATGAGGCATGGTGAGAAGGCCAGTCTGACGACTACAAAGGACAGCTTCCGGAGAGCAGACGGGTCCAGTCCAAGACCAGCTCGCAGAAGGATGATGCCAAGAGCTATATTCCTGGAACAAAACCCCATAACGGTAACACCTCCTGGAAAAACATTGAACTATGTAAATAGCAGCTTGTTGAAACTGTACTGAATGATAAGAAATTGTCAATGGCCAGTTCGCTGCTAATCAAAAATTATTTTCTTTTCACTATCAACCCATTTTACAATACAAGAATATTGTCTAGTTTTACATAGCCATAAACAGGAATCTGATAAAAACATATACACTCCCTAAATATCAACATACAATTTTTCATTTCTTTCAAACAGGTATGTAGCCAGTTGCTACAACAACAGACAACCTGACCATGGCGTCAGCTTCCTTGACTTTCATTCAGGTGAGCTAACAAAGTCATGTCTGTAATCTCCAAAGACGTTGGTGGTTTGATCCCGGACACATCATACCAAAATATGTATGGTACTTGTTGTCATCCTACCTGGCACTTGGCATTAAGGGGCTAAGACAAGGACTGGTCAGCTCAGAGTCAGTATACTATGTCTGAGTGGGGTTATTATGTTAACTGTGGCATGGTATCTCACAGGGCTAGCAGTATAAAATTGACATTAGTTTGGACAAGTTCAATCAGCCCCACACACACATACACAAGCATGCACATGGCTATATAAATGCAATGATCTTGGGTGCAACGTTAAACTCCATTTCGACTAAAACCCACCATAAAACCAGCGTTAGTCCAAACTAGTACAGTGAGTGAGTGAGTGAGTATGGTTTTACGCCACTTTTAGCAATATTCCAGCAATATCACAGCAGGGGGACACCAGAAATGGGCTTAACACATTGTACCCATGTCGGGAATCGAACCCAGGTCTTCTACGTGACGAGCAAATGCTTTAACCACTAGGCTTCCCAACCGCCCCCTAAACTAGTACAAGCAGCCCCACACACACATACACAAGCATGCACATGGCTATATAAATGCAATGATCTTGGGTGCAACGTTAAACTCCATTTCGTCTAACCCCACTATAAAATTGACATTAGTCTGGACTAGTACAAGCAGCCACACACACACACATACACAAGCATGCACATGGCTATATAAATGCAATTATCTTGAGCTGTGACGTTAAACCCCATTTCACCATCCCACCAAACCTTAATCTTTAATTCATTACATTCCTTAGCCAACTTTTGCTACCAATTATCAAATTTGGCTATTATTAGAACAGTTTTTTACTCCTCCCACAAAACAACAGTGGGTCCCCGTATCGATTCAGGATTAGAATTGGTCCCTTGCAAACTAAGCTGGTCACAAGAAGCAACTTAATGGATCTGTGGGCCGGGTGTCAATTGGTTGATTTATACCCCCATACTGTCTGGTCCAGACCTGAATATGTACAGGCCACCATCGCATTGCCGGTACATTGCTCAGTGCAGCTTACAACAACAAACAAACAAACAAACAACAGCGTGTGACGTCATACCGGGCTCCTGAGGACCAGGCACGGTGTATATCGGTGGAGATGGCTATCTGGGGAACATTTCGTAATAACCCTCCAACAAGCAGCATGCCTGGAAGAGATAGGGCACATCATATCCCAATTGTTACAGTGGACAGCATACAATAGACTCTGCTTGAGCAGATTTCTTATGATTATGGAACTTTGGTCACATGTATTTACACATAAAGGATAGCTACGTGATAAATCACAAAGAACAATGAAGAACGAAATGTGGCTATCTCACGATAAGACATCATGACGTCATTTCTGGAGATTCAAACAGTTGCTCGCAACTTGATGACTTGATGACATCGTATATTGGACGTTATTTTTGAGAGGGGAGTGTCTAGTGAGTTGTTCACCATTGATGGAGCTGAGCAACACTGATAAACGCGATGGCCGAACGATCGCATCCGAAAGCAGGAGAGATCTGACAATCAGTAATGGGAGAAAAGGTACAGGTGAGCAATATTCAGCAATATTCCAGCAATATCTCGGCAGGGGATACCAGAAATGGGCTTCACACATTGTACCCATGTTGAGAATTGATCCCGGGTCTTCGGCCTGCCGAGCGATCGCTTTAACCACTAGGCTACCTGACAACCCCAAAGGTACAGGTAGTCGACATGAGGATTGTGAGAATATACAAGAAATATCCACCTGTGCATTAAATGAACTTGTCCTACAACGCCAATGTTGGATTCTATTGAGGGAGTCATCATTATGAAGATATGGGTAAATATTTGTAAAGCTTGTACATTTTATCATCATCCTTAGAGAGGTTGTTAATAATGTTGATATCTCATCTAAGAAATAAACGACTCATGGTCGTCGTTTATCGTACAATAAAAAACTGTGCCCCTCATGTTTTTTTCTCCCTGTAGCGTTTGATGGTACGATAAACAACTCCAGCTCGTCGTTTATTTCTTAAATAAAACAACAACATGACTGTCACTGATTGAAATAGGACATTTTATTTATTATTGTACCTTTATTTATTATCGTACCTTTATTTATTATCGTACCTTTATTTATTATTGTACCTTTATTTATTATTATACTTTTATTTATTATTGTACCTTTATTTATTATTAGACCTTTATTTATTATTGTACCACAAAAAATAAAAGGATCAGCATGTTTTTCATTTCTCATTGAAACTGCCTCGACAGTCTGTAAACTTCTTCCTGTCTAGTAAGCTAATCTTAACACAATAATCTACTAAAAATAACGCCAAAAGGATCATGCTAACTAACTCAAAACAGACTGCAGGTATGCATGACAATAATGATATTCCACGAATACATCCTCATTAACACTGACACCCAACACATAATCTGAAACTTACCTAGCAATGGTGGAAGCGGCAGGAAAGGGATGATGTTTTTAACCAGTGACACCAAATATCCACCAAACCAACAGGTGACAAACAACACCAGCAACGCAAACAGGTTGCCCCCCGGGAGTGCCTCCGCCCCGGTCAGGGAGATCAAAACAGCGAGCCAGATTCCGAACATGAACAACAGCACCAGAAAGCCTCCTACTTTCCCATGGGGTGGACACATAAAAAAATATTTCACTCTCTGACCAAGGGTGGCATTTTCTGGCAATGGGTTGTAGTGTGTTTGAATGGGTTTGAATGTCCTGTGGCAACATGTCCGGAGAGCAAGGCACTTCTTTGGTTGTTCTGACTTTGGGAGCTCTTCACTAATTTCAACCTCCACCTCTCCATCTTGATCCATGGTTGCTGAGCCTTCCGAAAACATGTCACGTTTTGACAGCTTAGCCGAGCTGTTAGAGTAGCTCTGCATAGCTAGGCCGTCTGCTTCCCTGGCTTTGTCCGTCTGCCCCTCTGACATGGCTGCTGACCCAGTGATTCAGTCACCTGGCAACACAAAGTATGTTACTTTTGTTAACCAGCATAAATTTTCTGACATAGGCAAAAGTAGAGAGGGTTTTAATTTGTGTGAATTTTCAGATACTATTATTCAAATATTTAGATCTTCACCTAAGGCAGCTGTTGTTCATTGCCTTGATAGACATATAACTCTAACATATCTTAGCCATATATTACAGCAATGTAACAAATATGATAAAAGCCATTCTCATGTTTGTTTGTTTGTTTGTTGTTGTTTAACGCCGCACTCAGCAATATTCCAGCTGTATGACGGCGGTCTGTAAATAATCAAATCTGGACCAGACAATCCAGTGACTGACATCATGAGCATCGATCTAGGCAATTGGGATATGATTACATGCATCGTACGACAAGCATAGTCGCCTCTTATGGCAAATACGGGTTGCTGAAGACCTATTTTAACCCGGAATCTTCACAGGACCATTCTCAAGTACAGTGACAGTTTTAGAATTGAGTGAATACCTAGTGTACAATTACTTCAGATTGGTGTTAATAACCAATGACTTTCGGTTATCTGGAAATGTTAAATGGAAATAAAGGCACAAATTATGCAGGTCTTAGACGTTCTTGAATCTTGAACCCAGTTGCATGGATATAGTGTTGACACACCAAGACCACAATCAGGGTCAATCGGAGATTTGAACCCACAGCCACCAGATCAACAGTGATAACGGACCAGTCAAAAAGTTGCTTTAGACTAAAAAAAACGAGAAAAGTTTATAAAGTTTCAGATAAAAAACCTTCAGGGCTGTAAAAAATGAGCAGGGCTCACTAATCTCCCCGACTTCAACTCCAACATATTTCTAAGTTCAAAACATGTAAAAATTCATTTATTTTTTCAGAAAATACATATATCACAATCAAACTTTGCACTGCATCTCTCCTATTAGTATAGAAAGTGTTTCTTAAATTTGAAAAGAATCCATGTAGTAGTTCTCAAGTTATAGGTTGCACAAGTGTTTAAGTAAAAACATTCAAAGTAAAAAAATATAAATACTGGTAGATCTATGTTTTCAGGAAACCCAAATAATGAAATCAATCTTTGCACTGCACCTCTCCTAGTGGTATTGAAAGTGTTGACCAAGTTTGAATCAATGTAGTAATTTTCAAGTTACAGGTCACACACAAAAATGTCCTTGGAAGAACAGATGGACAGACAGACAGAATTCTTTGGTATAACTTTATACCCCCACCCTTTTAGGTTGTGGGTATTTTTAAAGATGTTTATCGAACATTGAACTGTTGCACTGCTCCCTAAGGGTCAGAACCACAGGGCATCTTCTCAGAAACCAGGTCGTGGGTATTATTAAAGATGTCTATCTAACATTGAACTGTTGCAATACTCCCTAAGGTTCAGAACCACCAAGCATCTTCTCCTCAGAAACCACTGAACCAGTGAAGTGTGTGAAGTTTCAGCTTCATTGGTCCAATTGTTTCAGAGGAGATACTGCAGGCTGCGAGACAAACAGGCCATGACATAAGCTCAGTTGGCTTTCAGTCAGGTGATAAAAGTTATAATATGCTGAACAATTTCTTTTAGAACTTTGGACGAAATCGAACAATTAATTAACTGTAGCCTAACACAACCGATGCACATACTATCTCATGGAGTAAATGAACTGATATAAACATGATTCATGTTATCACAACTTTTAATTTTTTCAAAATCCTGTCACTTACAACAAACCAATGAAAGACAATACAATCAAGTATGAATAAATTAACACCAATTTGAACAGTATGCCAGTCATAATACAATGTGTCAGCTTAATGTGGGAGGAAAGCCTGAAGTGATGCAGGTCTGACGTTTACCACTTTGGTGAAACCCACAAGCACAGATATGGTCCTGACACACAGACCTGGTGCTGACACACAGACCTAGAAACATTATCAGGGCGAACCAGGAATCTAACACACGATGACATTCTTGGAAACCAAGTCAAAAGTGCCACATGTTGCCAGTCTGGGATCCTAAAATGTTTTACCTGGGCCTGAACTGGACCTGAACTGGACCTGAACTGGACCTGAACTGGACAACAGGTAGACCCAGGTAAATCCACATTTAGGATAATGATTTGTTTGTTTGTTTGTTTGTTGTTTAATGCCAACTCAGCAATATTCCAGCTCTATGATGGCAGCCTGTAAATAATCAAGTCAGACATCCAGTCATTGATATAAGCAACGTCCCACATCATCAGGGTACCATGACAAATAATCAACCACGGAACCCCCACAGGTGCCCTGATAGGGAAGAATTGTGTACACACAGCACTACACTGTGTTCACTTGGTTTGGTTCATCAGTACACTCCTCAGGATCATAAAACACTGTCTGCATTAACTACACATGTCGGGCAGGGCGTTACTGTTGATGACAGGTAACATACACCTGTATGCGGAAGTTCTGGGCTGACAGGTTACTGGTAACGTCTAACCTGAGGAAGGCTCAAGATGCCAGGTAACCCAGCCACAGGCTGTCCACTCAGGTCCACCCGATGTGCAGATAAATATTCCTGTCCCCCCAGGCTTTTGTTACAGATGGCAAAGTGATTATTCAGTCGTTACATCACTATAGTGTTGTTACATCACAAGGAATATGCTGATTTTGTTGCATGTGAAATATCCTTCATAAATTCTAAACCCCTACAAATATTTTCAAAGGAAATAATACACAAAAATATGAGTAAGAAATATGATTTTAACAAGACAAAAAATGAGCAGGGCTTTGGCTCCAACATATTTCTAAGTTCAAAACATGAAAAAAAGCCACATTTTCTCAGATAATCCACCTCTCGAAATCAAACATTGCACTAGACCTCTCCTATTGGTATAGAAACTGTATCCCCAATTGGAAAAGAATCCATGAAGTAGTTTTCAAGTAATAAAGGTCGCACAAATGTTGATGTAAAAACAATTCTAAAATGTTCTCGGAAGGACGGACGGAAGGAATTCCTTGGTATAACTATATACCCCGCCCTTTCAGGTTGGGGATATAACAATGGAAATATTATCAATCTAGACTACTCAGAGTGAATGTGTATGGATGCTAAACAGACAAGCCACTGTTACACAACATATATTTATACTTACATTACCCATATAACCAACTACTGATAATGTTGACCTCGGGAGTTGACCTACCTCAGTGTTAGTGTTGAGATAACACAGCACAACACACTACTTGGGGAAATACGAGTGTTATACCTGGCTTGCTAGGACATGCAGCCCTCTAAACTCTCTTTCACCTATATACAGGCAACTGAAGTTGATTTGCTTTTATAATAATCAGCAGAGAAATTTCAGTGTCACAACTCATATCATTCCTTGGTATCCAAAGTGACTTCCAGCCTGGCAGAAACAAGATGGCTGTGACATAAGTAAACATCTAAACACGTATAATGACATCACCAGGTAAACACAGATAGCAAAAGGGTTTGGCCTTCAAAAACGTTTCAGCTTCAAATATAAAAAAATAATTTGGGATTGGTAATATTTCTTTTCCATGATGTTTTTTGTGAGTTTTGATATTCATTCTGAACTAGTTGATATTAACGTATATTACGGGGTAATAGCCGACCTGGGATAGAGTGCCCCAAGTTGACTCTTGAAATCACTACTTAAATTATATGCCTTCGAGAAAGGAAAGAACGGGAGAATTATGTTTGCAAGAAAAGTAAATGCCATTATTAAAGCAAATTTGTATTTACTTCCAATTCTTTCAAATGTCAGTGCTTGAGGTTTCTGATAGTTTTGTAGATAGAATCATATTTCTTTGAAACTTTAACTATAATCTGATAATTCAGCATACATAATCAATGCTCAACAACAAATTTGCCTGAGCGTTATTATCGACAGTGTTTACATTTTGACACTTTCTCACAAAACATGAATTAAAAAGTAAGGATTATTAGTTGTATTAAAGGTCTGTAATCCTTAATGGATAACATAACCCTCTATATACTGGCACATACTCACATACACCGGTATATACTGGCATATACTCACATACATCGGTATATACTGGCACATACATCGGTATATACTGGCACATACATCGGTATATACTGGCACATACATCGGTATATACTGGCACATACTCACATACACCGGTATATACTGGCATATACTCACATACACCGGTATATACTGGCACATACACACATACACCGGTATATACTGGCACATACTCACATACACCGGTATATACTGGCACATACTCACATACACCGGTATATACTGGCACATACTCACATACACCGGTATGTACTGGCACATACTCACATACTCTGGTATATACTGGCACATACTCACATACACCGGTATATACAGACATATACTCACATACACTGGTATATACTGGCACATACTCACATACACCAGTATATACTGGCACATACTCACATACTCTGGTATATACTGGCACATACTCACATACTCTGGTATATACTGGCACATACTCACAGACACCGGTATATACTGGCACATACTCACATACTCTGGTATATACTGGCACATACTCACATACACCGGTATATACTGGCACATACTCACATTCTCTGGTATATACTGGCAAATACTCACATACTCTGGTATATACTGGCACATACTCACATACACCGGTATATACTGGCACATACTCACATACACCGGTATATACTGGCACATACTCACATACACCGGTATATACTGGCACATACTCACATACACCGGTATATACAGACATATACTCACATACACCGGTATATACTGGCACATACTCACATACACTGGCACATACTCACATACACTGGTATATACTGGCACATACACACATACATCGGTATATACTGGCACATACTCACATACACCGGTATATACTGGCACATACTCACATACACCGGTATATACTGGCACATACTCACATACACCGGTATATACTGGCACATACTCACATACACTGGTATATACTGGCACATACTCACATACACTGGTATATACTGGCACATACTCACATACACCGGTATATACTGGCACATACTCACATACACTGGTATATACTGGCACATACTCACATACACTGGTATATACTGGCACATACTCACATACACCGGTATATACTGGCACATACTCACATGCACCTGTATATACTGACACATGCACCGGTATATACTGACACATACACTAGTATATACTGACATACTCACATGCACCGGTATATACTGAGACATACACCGGTATATACTGACATACTCACATGCACTGGTATATACTGAGACATACACTGGTATATAGCGACACATGCTCACAAACACTGTCCTGGAAGGTCTACTTACAATCACACAACATGCAGGGATGTGATGACAGGAAGGAAGAAGTCTGCCTGTGATAAAGTCATGGCTTGAATGATGCCCTGCCCTGGAGCGCTTAGCTGCTCTCGTTTCTCTGGTTCTGAATACTATTTGAAAAACCTATCTTTGCATATGCGCATATTTATCATCTTGGAATTATAAGAGAAATACATATCTCATATCGCTTTGTCCTTTCTTTCAAAAATGAAAAAAATTGGTATGATCTTTCCTTTGTTTGTTGTTTAACGCCGCACTTGGCAATATTCAAATTGGTATGAATATGGTACAGAAAACTTTAAATGTTGCTCCAATAAAGTCTTCATGAATCAGTAGTGCAAGACGGTGCACTGTAACTAACAACTCTAATCAATCACCATCTATAATTGATCAGTGATTGATTGATTAGCATACGATGCAAGGATCCATATAAAGTGGCTCTGATTAATTAGCTGATCAGCAGCGCTTCTGTCCATACATTCTTAAACAGTTTCATAATTTGTAATCTGGATGGATATGAAAATGAACGCCTTGAAAACTTGATAAGGGGAAAACACAAACAATTACAAACAGAATATACAAGTAATGGTTGGTCAGTAGAGACAGTGGTTTAAAGAACCTTGTGATCCATGAAGATCCGGGGTGGAATAGGGCTTCAGCAACCCATTCTTGAGGTAAAAGTCAATTATGCTTGTCATAAGCGATGACTTATAACGGGATCGGGTGGTCAGGCTCACTGACTTGGTTGATGCATGTCATCGTATTCCAATTGCGTTGATTGATGCTCATGATGTTCAGCACTGGATTGTCTGGTCCAGACTCCATTATTTCCAGACCGCCGTCATATAGCTGGAATATTGCTGAGTGCGGCATGAAACAGCGAAGAAACATTATATAACGTAGTGTCTGTTGAGACAGCTGATTATACACTGAACATGTGAGTGAGCTGGGATTAACACTACTTAGGGTGGTATTATGTCATAGCATTTCAACAACTGCAGGGGATTGATGTTCTTCACTCTCAAGCCAATGGCTGGTTGGTTGGGAAGAAGAGGCGGGACAAATGATTGCATAAATAATTATGCAAAATACAAGCAATTGTTTCTTGACAATGATTGATCTGTTGAGACAGGAGACCATATAGCCCATGACTGTTCAGCTAAGACAGACAACTATATTTCCATAATCATTTATTGATCACTTGGGATCAACAGTTATATGACAAATGACAGATGGATTGAAACAATCACCTAGATAACTAACAATCAATTGCTCAGGCAAAGTAGAGAAAGGTTTATGGATAACAACTTCTTTAACAAAACTTTGGTCTACTTCCGTGAACTTCTAAGAAATGCCTTTCAAACATAACCAATGATTGATCAGGGATACACAATTATATAACCAGTGATTGATCAGTCAGAACAGTTGATGATCGCTTAAGATAGTCAATCATGTTACAATGATTGTTTGATTCAGGTAAACAATCATGAATTGTCTTATACAACCAATGAATGATCAGTGGGGATAGTTTATAATAAATTATTGATCAGTGGGGACATTCGATAACTTAACCAATGAATGATCAGTGGGAATAGTTTATAATCAATTATTGATCAGAGGGGACATCCGATGATTGATCAGTGGAGATAGTTGATAACCAATGATTGATCAGTGGGGATAGTTGATAACCAATGAATGATCAGTGGGGATAGTTGATAACCAATGATCGATCAGTGGGGATAGTTGATAACCAATGAATGAGCAGTGAGGATAGTTGATAACCAATGATTGTTCCGTGGAGATAGTTGATAACCAATGATTGATCAGTGGGGATAGTTGATAACCAATGAATGATCAGTGGGGATAGTTGATAACCAATGAATGATCAGTGGAGATAGTTGATTACCAATGATTGATCAGTGGGGACAGTTGATAACCAATGAATGAGCAGTGAGGATAGTTGATAACCAATGAATGATCAGTGGAGATAGTTGATAACCAATGATTGATCAGTGGGGATAGTTGATAACCAATGAATGATCAGTGGGGATAGTTGATAACCAATGAATGATCAGTGGAGATAGTTGATTACCAATGATTGATCAGTGGGGACAGTTGATAACCAATGAATGAGCAGTGAGGATAGTTGATAACCAATGAATGATCAGTGGAGATAGTTGATAACCAATGATTGATCAGTGGGGATAGTTGATAACCAATGAATGATCAGTGGGGATAGTTGATAACCAATGAATGATCAGTGGAGATAGTTGATAACCAATGATTGATCAGTGGGGACAGTTGATAACCAATGAATGATCAGTGGGGATAGTTGTTAACCAATGAATGAGCAGTGGGGATAGTTGATAACAATCACTGACTGGTGGGGGCCCAAGACTTCCCAGTATGCCCGACCTGATGACTCTCCTGGTGCTGATGTCACAACATGATGCCGAGCAGCACCGCCTGCATCTCCCACTCACCAGGCATCTGTGGGGAGACAATCAGGCCCAATGTTACTGATGCCTACAAACGGTTTCTCATTGTAAGAAAACAACTCACTCAATTGTTTTTCTATAGAACCCTTTTTTGTGCAAGTAATTAATATTATTATAATGGTAAAATGATAGAACAAATAGTACATGTTACAATGTCACTGACCAAAAGAGAAAAATTACATCGGAAAAAAATGCTGTGTTGAAATGTCCTAAATAGGGAATTGGAGTAATTTGCACTCCGGCAGTTCACTTAATACTCTCAATGTATACAGTCAACAATAAAGACATTCAGTGTGTTTAGTGCAATTTGGCATTCCAGGGTAAGTTACAGAACATTTCAAGAGGAAACCAGAGATATGTTTCTCAATTAATTTCATCAGAGTTATTCATATAAGGATTTACATTTCAGGAAAATAAATTACTATGATCAGTTAACTGTCAAATGAAATGAAATCAGTTTTCAATCAAAATATCCTGCTGTGTTGAATGTCAAATACTGAATATAAATTTGTCACGTAAAAAATAAAAATCTGTTGTTTCTTAAAATATTGAATATGAAATTGGTATGTAAATGGATTTAAATAGAAGAATGCAGAAATAATGCTGAAGAAAACCAAACTAGCATTTGGTTCTAAAAGGATGGATGCAATCGTATTGAATACTGTAAGTACACACATGAACACATTTTCGTTATTTCCAAATTTTAATATAAAAAAGTCAGTAAATAATGATATGCAGTAGATGTATATTAAGGTGAGTTGTACACAATTTCTTAAAATTCCTATCTGACAGAGTAAAAACAATGCATAGATCTAGTTGAAATACACAAGTTCAACAAAAGTTGATTAAACCGCAAAGGTTATTATTGTGAAGATATCAACCATCTGTTGGACCAGATGCATTTGTTAACTTGTAACACCAAACACATTTTATACAAATAGGATTCAACCTGAAGGATATCGGACATCTCAAGCAAGTCTAGACTGGGCATTTTGTAATATGGGTATTGTCAAAATTGACCTGAGACATATTATAGTTTCATTAATTCTGCAGGCTCATACAATCTCCTAAACAATAGCAAATTCATCGAGATATCAATTAAGTTATGTAACCTAACTTGCACACTGGCATTGTTATTTCAGTCACTCCACTGTTCTTTCTTGCCTTTCACTTCCAAGATCTTTGACCCCTATAAATATTACCGTATTCAACGTAATAAGCGCCCCGCTCTAATAAGGGCCCACAGCGAGATTTGCTGATATATTGGCAAGTGAACAATCCCAATTAGCACCCCTTCGCATATAATATGCACCGCTTCTTTCCCCTATTCGCGTATAATACACAGTCGTGTGTTATATGCACCCTTTATTATTGGCAATTAAATTCTGGAAACACATATCTGTCGTATGTAAACATTTCAGGCTGTCAGCATAAACCACGAAATTTATCTTTCAACTCTGTTTTTTACACCAAAATAATATTTGAATAAGAGCCCCCTTTTTCTAATTTTGAGAGCGCCCTGGGCGCTTATTACGTCGAATACGGTATATAGGTTAATTTTATGATTAAGGTGTAAGGATAATTGAACTGCAAAAACGGTGCACCAAGAATGACACACACTAATCTGTATATGCATTCAAATTTAATTTTACCAAAGAAATGAAGAATGACACAATTTCGTAGATAGTCTCTTTAGAACAGACCTAGTTTGCGATCATGGGAAAATGTAATACTAGCCTTATATAAGAATCTTGTAGCAGCATTTACCAGAGACCATATATATATATATATATATATATATATATATATATATAACACATAGGCTATGGTCTCTGCTATATAAGAATCTTGTAGCAGCATTTACCAGAGACCATATATATATATATAACACATAGGCTATGGTCTCTGCTTACACATAGTCGTAGATATATTCACGGTCTCTGTTTATAAACAAATTCCCAAAGATGCATAAAATGTTTGGAGGAAACAAAACGTGCGAATGAAAACAAATAAGAGTTACCCCCCTTCGCCAAATGTACCTCACATTCTCTTCAAGTTTGACGAAATAAAACATAAAACGATATTTTCAGATAAAATGGCATATACATAATTTAAGCTATTTCTATCTCATTAATCGTTTACATTTTTCAGGGGAACAAACTAAAGTATTCTCCAAGAAAACACTCACATGTTTCTCTGCAAGGTGCTTGTTTTTTGTGATAAACGTCACGCTGTTAGTGTTGACGTCACAAGAACAAGTACGCTGGTTTATTACAAATATCAGATTGCTGTCTGAAATTGGATTTTCGAATTGAGAAGGGCTTCAACACGTACTGACCTCTTCCAAAACAATTATATCGGAAACATCTACAATCAAATTCTCAAGATAAATTCAGATGTGTTATACATTAAAACAAAATGTCCATATATTGTGTTTTTTCACAAGTTTCTGGGTGGAATTAGATTACTGACTGTTAAGATAAAGATACTATCAGCAGTGTGATGCCCTTCATCAAACTCGTTGCTATATGGCCACCGACGAGGAGCTGTATCTGAATCTAATCAATCCATACAGTTCTTTTTGACACAATGTCATTTCTACTCGTCTTCATATCAGTGTGTAATTTCGAACACCCCAAATCATTATGATATCTAAAATAATTAACACGTTTTTTTAATGGTATTGTCACTTTAGGAAGTCGTATAGACTCCATCAAAGGAAAAAGTCAGACTGCTATGACAGAAGAAGAATAGGAAGAAATATATTTTATTTGTGTGTCACATGTTGTATTACACGACATGATAAGTTACGATAAGTCACGAAAACATACAACATTGCAATATGAACAATATAAAAGCATCAGTTTAGAATTGCTTAAAAAATATTAATAAATGTTCACATTAAATTTCTACATTCACGTAATACGTTCACACACACGCACGCGCACGCACACACACACATATGCACACACTGTTGCACCTACACATACACGTACGCATGTAACACACGCACATTACACACGTACCCATTACAAGATAACATAAATTAAGACAGATAAGGATTGGACCAATAGATAGTCCAGGCAAGCTGGAATCAGGTCATTCAACGTAGGAGTAATTGCACCATTCACGTCGAGAATTACCCTAGACGGGAGCCCAGGGACAAAGGAGTCTGTACAGTCTCCTTGCTTAAACTCTAACTGTAAAAACAAAAATGAGTCAAATGTTAATACTACACACCACTCGGACAGAAACTGTACTGTCAAACAATTCTGGCTATTTATGAGAAAAGAAATATCTGTATTATGGTGTGTCTGAGACACTGGTGGATCCAGTATGTGGTATGTTATGTACAATATTAGAACTCCCCCTTTTCACTTTTCATGAGGGGCGGGCGGGTAGCCTAGTGGTTAAAGCGTTCGCTCGCCACGCCGAAGACCCCGGTTTGATTCCCGACATGGGTACAATGTGTGAAGCCCATTTCTGATGTCCCACTCCGTGATATTGCTGGAATATTGGTAAAAGCGGCGTAAAACCATACTCACTCCCTCACATTTCATGTTCAAGATCCGCCTTTCGACACGAAATTGCGGCATATGTCATTGTATCCCGACTGCTTGTCTGTCATACAGACCCTGAAACAAATATATCCAATACAGCCCATGCAAGTCTATAATGTTTGGCAAGTCTAGATTACTGCAGTATGAAGAAAGTCTCTGGGTTCCTGTTTATTATATTATATAAATATAATTTAACAACTGCTTTTGTCTGTAAAATATGTTCATTTCAGAGACTAGATGTTAGTTTACCCGACTGCGTCTTCTATGAAACACGCCGATTTTTGGGTCAGTTAGTTTAATGTTGCATCTCAATCATTGCTTGGTCAAGATTTGATTATTTATTGACTTTGGATACAAAATAATTGGAAAGCAACACCTACAGTCTCTGTAACTCAAACCGTCAGCTGATAATCTTGTACGAAGCGTCCACTCTACATTCCCCTACCTTTCTACTCACTTTATTCCTGTACATTGGAAGACATTATTCAATCAGTCCAATATCGTGTGTGGAATAAAATCGAGACTTTACTACTAACGTGCTGTGTCGACCTAACATATGTTTTCTATTACTCCTCTCGCTAAAGCAGATAGAACCGATTTGATCCACCCAGGATTGCGTGTGTAGGGATTTTTCTTGCCAATTCCGATTTCGTTTCTTATCAGATCCGAAACTTTCCGTGATAAATTGTTGTCAGTGACTACGACATACGGGCACTGCTAATGTCCTCGAATTCCTGTGTCCCTCCATGTTTTTATTCGGAGGTTATTAGTCAGCGTGCTATAAGTTTGTTTTTGACCTGGATTTGTATATAATCCTCTGAGACATCAAATGTGGACAAAAGGAAACTATCCATGATGAATTTGAAACCAAAATGGCGGTAACTTAGATTAAAACTAGGTGGGTGTGCTCTTTGTTTTGGTTTTCTGATCCCGATCGGGTTTGGAAATGAACGAAGGAAAATGACTGTCATCGAAGACGAAGATATATAACAGCGGAGATCCGTCGGAAAAAAGAAGGCCTCGAAAAATCGAGGACCTCTTGTGATGGAGCTGTTCATCGAAACACTAACAGGCACAGCCTTTGAACTTCGCGTTTCACCTTTCGAGACAATCATGTCTGTAAAAGCGAAGATACAAAGGTTGGAAGGTGAGTACGAATAAAGAAATGTCATTTATTACACGATGTGATTTGTGTAACTATTGTAATCTTATATCAGCTGCATTTACACGTAGCGATATGTATGATGCATTATATGCACAATAAAAGTAGGCCCAGGTAATCATATTTGAGAGAAATAAATCTAGGCCTGTACCACAGGTGTCAGTCGTAAATGCTGCAGAGTTGTGGCACAAATCATTATTGGGCTTGGACAATATTGTAAGCAGTAGGTCCTTGACTAAACTCCCATATGGGATAAACACTAGCCAATCTTGGAATTTCACAATTCTCACTTGAACTCTGATCTTGAACATGTTGGATACACATTGAAGAAACACCAGGCAGCACATAGTGACTTACATGTTGTTATCCTGCATAGTCAGTATTGCATTTATGCATGGGTCCAGGTTAACTAAAAGTTCCAACTTTTATTATGCCCATTGTCATATTAACTAGTACATCCTTCCAGCAAGCCCAAATTGCTCACAAGATGGCATCATACCTAGATATCATGACACCCTGTGATGTGTCAGTCCAGAGCCTGTTTAGTAAAATTTCTTCCGGTTTTGTAAGATCAGCTTATACCATGTATACTAAAATATGCTGAAATATAATAACCGAATACTTCTTCGGGCAGATAATTGGGACACTTGTTCTGATCACTTAAAGTTATATACAATTCTTTATCAATTTTGATATACGATATTATACATACAATGACAACTTGCTCCATAACCCAATGGAAACAAAAGGCCATGTGATAATGGTGGACAATCTGTTTTGCCATAATAACATTGTTTGCTACAGTCACATTTCAATTTATGGTCATCACTTGTCAAAGTTGTTAAAGGTGTACCAGTATTTCTGTATTCAATGAGGGAGTAGGTTAAAACTTAACGTCACATCGGCATTATTTCAGCCACATAGCGGCGAGTTCTGTATTCATTTTAAGTCAGAGATGAATTATGATAATATGCATGAGAGGCCTTCTGTTTGTTTTCTGTCAGTATGATCATATGATGATCAGTTCAAATGTTTGTGAAAAACACTTTTGTGGGTTTTTTTTCTTATCATTATGCTAATGCATTAGAAACACATGATGTCCGAAAGGTTAAAATATCTGCGGGCAGCATTCTGTAGTGCTGTATGGAAGATCATTCTATAAGACAGGAGCTGTATGGGAGAATGATCATTGACCAAACTTGGCAAAGGACTTCAGTTTATGAGGTGGTCCAGTCGAGATGTTGATGATCGGAACATAAGTCACATGTTTGCACTGTAGGGATGGATAATTTCAGACAGTGCCAGTCCATGAAGAGATTTATGTGTCAAGCAAAGAATCTGGAAGTCAATCTGGGCTCTGACAGGCAGCCAGTGGGGGTCCCTGGGCACAATTGTTATGTGCTCATGTCATGTTTACTGAAATATCTAACTGTTATGTGCTGTATGAATGTTACTTGTCTGTCATCATTTGATGCTTGAATGACATGAATAAGGAAATAATTGTTGCATGAAATAAAACAGGAAAATATGTGCATGACATGTAGGGAAAGAAAAGTGACAATAGTTATTATCAAGTATTGAGAATGTTAGTGTTTGCATTGAAGCATGAACATGTTAATGGTCAAGGGTCTTTGTTCATAACAATGATGTTGAAAAATTGGAGAGTTGCAGGGTCCAAGGCTTCTATTTCAATGTCAGCAAACCTAGAGGATCCCTATTACCCTCTTTCTTATGCAACACAGATACCACACAGTGTTGGGAATGACTAGCAGTTTTCTTTCTAAGTCATGAAAATGTAGTAATGGCTAATATTACAGAAACACTATTCAAATTCATACAAATTGTGGACTAGTTAGATTTTATTCATGGTGTTTACCCCTGCCACGTTCTTATTATCCCCCGCCCAACAAAGTTGGCGGGGATATAGAAACAGGCTCCGTATGTCCACCCGTCACGTTTCATTTCCGGAGCATAACTCAGAAACTGTTCGATATTTTTTCATGAAACTTTGCAGGTCTGTCAATACATGCTGAACTGGTGCATTTTGCTATTTAGAAATTTTTATTTTTTTTACGTTTCCATGGCAACAAGATGGACTTAGGTTCCAAACTCTTCTTTTTTTTACAATTTCCATGACAAGTTCCACCTCAGTTAAAAACGGTTAGGGTTTGTTTAGATTTAATTATGTCATAAATTCTGCAACAGGGGCGGGGGATGTAGCCAAGTTAGTGGCAAACTCTTGTTTTTTTTATATTCATAGATTTTGCAACATTGCATTTAAGGCAACGATGACTGGGACTGAATTTTGACATGTGAGGACAGCTATATATATCCCTTGTTTGGCGTGTTTTATTGTCAGTAGCTAGATTTGGACCATGTTACACATGTTTATCACAAAACTTGTCATAAGCAGATTTATCCAGATCTTTCTGGTTCTCATGAATGGTTTAACTGACTTGTTGGGAAATCAAGATATGCAGAGTTGAGATTACAGTGTACCATGTGCTGAATTCCCTGGAGGATTCAAAAGGATATACACAGATAGAAAAGTTGAACATGTTGAATGTTTGAAATCATTTTTCATAGATGTGAAAATAGCCCTTTGTTTTGTTTTCAATGTAAGGAACAATTCACTGATGCACAGTTCACCACTTGTACCATAAAGCATGAAAGTCAAGGGTTTTTTTTATGACCCTGGTGTCACTGAATGTCACCCCGATTGCATAAGATAGCAGAAAACCTAAGCATGCTCAAAGATCACCGACCCCCCTCATCATCAAACACTGTACCACATTATCCAAATCTTTGATACAATAGGAAATTTGAGACTTCATGGTGTATGATTTAACATATTTTAGCTTTCCAGGACCCAAGGTCAAAGTAGGCTTAGTCTTTCTCACAGAAAGAGGTGTGGCCAGCTGACTGATATCTGATGGTGTGTCCGATACATTCTAAACATGCTAAAGTATACAAACACTTGCAAATGGTGGAAGTTTGTTAATTGTCTTCTGTTCTTGTTTGTCAGTGATGGCCTTCAAAACTGTATCTGGATTTAGCTTTGAAAAGTCTGAAATTGGGTGACTGAAAGTTTGTATGAACCATGCACAAGGCCCAGAGAAAAGAAATGGTGTAGGACCATAATGTGAATTGAGGAAATCTGGATATACAGTAAACTATGGTTATAACATGTATGATGAACTCAAAGGGGCCACTAATTTAAGTTTGTTATATTCCTCTTTCCTTGTATGCATTTCGACCGTCTCACATCTTGGATCCAGTCATGTGATCACATGTTCCTCGATAAATATCTCGATATGAAGTGTGCACTGTACATGTACTATGTTTATTCATCATACATAATAATATTAAAAACATGTTTCAATGATACACAGACACAAGAGTCACTTGCCTTCATTCAGGAAGTCTGTGATTTTACTTTGTACATTTGTTGAAAGACGGATTTGGTCGAGTTTCGTCTCAATGTCATCAATACTATTATACACTTTCGATGATTAACCAGGGCAACTGAAAGAACTGACAAATGGCGTCTATATGGGTAGCCGTTTCAGATGGTGTGAGAAGTTCACATTCGCTCGGTAGTTCTGTCTCAAGTCATCATCGGAGTCGGAAGGGCTGGTGTTTTCAGTGTGTTTAACTTTAACTTTGTATTTAGGATTGATAAAATAGTCTTCATTTGTAGAAAATGTTTCAGGATCATGAAGCCTTCAGAGAGGAGATATTTTGATAGGATATGTCGCATTGCTTCAGATTTTGATTTAAGAATTTTAGATTCTTTGAATATCCCAGTTTTTTTAGAAGATGATGATAACGAGTTTCTTTAGGCACCATCATCAGCTCTGAAAATCTTGCCATTGTTGACAGTGTTGTGAAATAAGTACTTATCATACATAAATATGTATCATAAGTAAATACTCATCAAACAGATACACAGACAAGTAAAGCCATAATGTCATGCCAATATCCTGCTTCAATTCCCCACATGGGTACAATGTGTGAAGCCCATATTTGGTGTCCAAAATATTCCAAAAGCGTCATAAAGCCATACTCAGTCACAGATAAGTTAAGCTACAACAGCAAAACTTTCCTTACTTTTTGCGATCACTTTGAATGCTCGTGATGAGAAATGGTGCCAAGCCCCAATTTTCTTTTTATCATTTGCCCAAAAGGTGCACCCCAAACTGGTTCTGACTAGTGGTTTTTGGTTGGCAATATCTTATCTGATATTCAGCGATTGTGTTATATTTTCAACAGCGTATGAGGGGTGTTGTTCCTATTTTGTATCCAGTTACATTTCTTATTGAAAAGATTGTTAAATCAAAATATGTTCCTGCATATTTTCATTGAAACATATTGCATTTTGATTTGGATTTTGACTGATTGTACTGTAGACAAATATTTGGCAGTCATTGACTTAGGCAGTGTTAGAAATTAAGGGTTTCTTGAGGTTTGCTCCCATAGTATTTCAATCTAGGGAACTTCTAAATCTTCAAATCTTAACTTCAGCATGTTCAGGGCTCTGACAACGACCCCTTGACTTTCATGGTTAATATCAAAACACTATTTTGCAAATAAATCTGAAAATTATGCCAGTGGACAGGTTCAGGCCAGTGAACTCAAAAGTTTTTGTCCCAGACTGATTTATGTTATATATTTTGTCATGTGTTTGTATTATAATAACTGATGTTAATAATGTTGTTTCAGTGCTATTTTTTCAACTATTTATATATTGGTAAAACTGTTGCAAAATTTGTTGTATGTTTTAAAAGTTAGTTTGATGTAAAACCTGAACTTGAATTTTTATGTTCATGATGAATGCTGGGGAGTATGAGTGACTATGAAATTCACTGTGCAGAGTTGTGTTTCGTAGTTGTGCCAGGATGCAATGGTCAATGGTTAGAATCCCATATTTGCCGTCGTAATTCTTGAGGGTTTTGTACCATTCTCTCTTGCTCATGGGTTTTATT